TTTCGAGCTGAATTCGAGAAAATTGTTTGTTTTTGCTGTAATGTTTTCTTAACTCGTTCAGATTTACTTATCAGATATTCTTCCTGCAATTGATTTGACTACATTCTTTACGCTGTTGAAATTTTCGTAAGAAATTTATTTTTATGTGAATCTTTATCGTGATATAACGCGATATATAATACAAAAATAGACGTGACGAAAAACTGAGACGGGAATAAATGTATTACAACACTGCAACTGCATTAAAAACTATCTAATTAATTGGCATTCTTAAGACATTCATAGAGAGCATCTTGAAGTCGAGTGAAAGTATCCACGCAGTCTGCATCCCCCGCTTTCAATCCATTGCAGACATATGCAAACGCAAGGTGTGACTGTACATCAACACGAACGTTTTGACCTCCATAACCCGAATGGCCAAAGATCCAGTTACCCTGCAATTTCGTGTTATTTTCATCCACATGGATCACTCCAATCAACGGCACCTGATAAACTTTGCAGCAATCGAATGAACCAAGAAAATTGTGGCTGCAAAAGCTTTCACAATACCCCAACTGCAACAAGTATATATGACCGATAAGTATTGAGATTTCATACAAGATCTTAATTGATCCTGAGCGTTACACTTGCAACCTCCAAAATACAAAGCTTGTGTACAAACCTTCCGATTCCGCAATTCAACACTATTGCACCAATTCATTTTATACACTTTATCGTGAAACTATATGATAATCTGATTTTGCAAAACATTTATGTGATATTCATGTTCATCTCCTTTAACTTGTTGCAGTCGATCATACATAAATAATGAAATTAATTTCAGAAAATCCCAGACGTTCTGAAGATGAGTCAATCCCAATGAAAGTATCGCTAATGGAATTTAAGATCAAATCTCATTGCGTAGAGAAAGATTACCAATTTATTTTTCGTGTACTGCCACCCGAATCCCTTAGATTCAGGATATCCGTTAACTATGTCGAATTGATCAACCAGTTGAGGCTGTTCAATCGATGAAAGAAATGCTTTCGATAATAACTTTCCTTCTGCAATCAGTGAATGTATCTTTGCAACAGCTCTTGCACTCGCGATTCCCATATTCGAAGGCATTGGCAACAGACGGTTCTCGAGTTTATTATACTACAACGACAATCATTTCAACAGTTGCCTTTCATAAGTATGTCGATGACATTATCAGCTGATAATCAGAAGACTGACGATCACTAAATTCAGTTCATTTGTTACAGCACTCGTCTCATTCCAGATCCAATCGAGAACAAATGGGAAGAATCGATTGATCAATGAGGATGGAGAACTTTAGTCATTTTAAGATTAGACTCTCTTTCGGAGTGG